TGTTGTCATCATCAGATGGTAGACATATTCAACAAGTACCTCAAGGATCACATCATGGAGATTATGGATGCTGATAAGAAATGTACGTCTCCACTGTGGATAGCAACTAGTTGGACATGTGCAACCCGGCGATTATTCAGTTTGATTGAAGTTTAGTGCATTCAGCAACAATAACTATCTGTACTTTGGATCGATTATTTGTGCTCTGGGTGCGCGTTACAAGTCCTACTACTCCAATGTCGTCCGAACGTTCCTGGTCAATCCGACGGAACCAGAAGCACTACACCTTACTGCTCAATTTGGAAGAGAAACTGCTGAGGGTGATGATCCCGGTCAATGGTTTATGCCAAGAAGTAGGATCCCAAGCTAAGACGTTCGATTTTACCATCGGGTTCGAGTTCCGGGAGAATTCGATCGTAGTACCTCAACCAGTGAAATTCGGTTTAAAAATTGTAATTTAATTAGGTTGAGTTGAAGCAATAAACATTCCGTGTGTTTGTGCCGTGAAAATTAGTTCGGTATTGCTCAAATGAGTTTGGTTTGGTAGACGACCAATTAACCGACTACTTTTAACGGCACAACCAGACGAAATTTTTATTACTTCCAATCAAACTTAATTAACTTTTCTTTTTGTTACAAACATCGAAAACCATTTATTTCATCTCGTATAAGATGACACACATCCGAAAATAAAACTACTCTTTTACTTAATTCTAATTTAAACCGAAATCTGACTTCAAATTTTCATACGTCGCATCGGTGGTAAGGCCACAGTTGTTACCTTTCACCGCCATCAAAGCAAATCCATCGTTGCCCCAGTAGTTGGACCAGGAGTTGTTTTCTCCAGCTCCATCCCAACAAACAATTTTAGCTGCAGCTTAGCTTATACAGGCAAAAATTAGCTGCATAAGGCAAATTTTGGCTGTATAAGCTAATCTACAGCTAAAATTGTTTGTTGGGATCTACAGCTGGACAATTTTGCTCTACAAATGTTTATTTTTAGTCTATCCCATGAAGAGTATCAAGCCAATTTTTGATACATTCAGCCAAGTTAAGTTGCCCAAGAGGCTTCTCCAACTAACATTTTCAGCTTTATAAGCCAACTTTTGCAGCGGTGTGCTGTAAAGTAGCTGAAATAAAGCTGCAGATACAACTACAAGCAGAAGCTAGCATAATAGTTTTGGAGAGCGTTTACTCAACTTTTTCACAACCATTATTCAATTTATCAGTCGCACTGAATAACATCAGCCAATAAACGCTAATGTCACTTCTATGCAGGGATCGACTAAAAACTCAGAGTGGTGCAAAAAACACTGGTGCTACTCTAAAATAAGGGAGCGCGTCCCTTATATTTGGAAGGAGAAAGAGACTAAGGAGAGAGAGATTTCATATTTAGGAGAGAGTAGTTGGACAGCTCAGGTGTTACTTGCGTATAGCACAATCGAGTAGTCCACGGTGTTATGACGGGAGTAGCACTTTTCAATCGGGAGAGACGTGGCTTAGAGATTTACAAGAATTGCTGCATATTTTAGGCTGGGTGCAGAATATTTTTACACTCATATAATATATCCGGAGTGATTTGAAATTTGGGCGTAATTGCTTTTGTAAACAAACACGTCAATTACTGATTTCTCTTGAATAAAAGCTCAATCTCACAAACAAACTATACCAAATGATAGAGGAATAATTCCTCTACCTCATAGTGTTATTACTTTTCGAGATTGAGATTTTATTCGCAAGAAATCGGTGATTGACGTGTTTGTTTACAAATGCAATTACGCCCAAATCTCAAATCACTCTAGATATGTTACAGAAGCGTAGGAAAATGTAAATTTTGATGCTTTTCCTAAAGAGGTGTTTTTAAGATCGATGTGTAATTTTCTTCACTAGGGGGTTAGCTCTGGTCGACATTCCGGCGAAAAATGTAAGCCAACCTGACACCAACCTGACTTCTATCAAACCCCAACCCGATGTTGACCTGACATTGACCCGACATAAACTTCAAATTGACCCGACAACAACACGACATTGGGTCGACATCGACCCTAAATTAGCCTTACATTGATCCGACATCGGGCTGACTTGTCTGTTCGGGACCATTTTGCTGGGTTTCTTCCACACTCCACTGTCGTATATCAAATGATAGTGGGAGACTCAATTGACAGTGACAATGAGCTTCGAATGAGAAAGGGGCTCTTCAAATGATGGGCACGAGAGATTTTTTTTCTCTGAATCGATTTAATAGTTGTATTGGTTCATCTTCAATCGAATGATATGAAAATTAACAGCACTGATGCTAGCTATCCTACAACGCTACAGTTATAGAGAAAGTACACTGTCGGAGAAACAAAGAGAGAGAGAGAGAGAAAGAGACTTAACACCGTTGGAGCGGCAGCTCTCCAACACAAGAAGAATGAAATGTGCTGCACGATTTAAAATGCTCTTTCACGTCTCTTTGGAAATGAAAGTGCTGTCTCGCAACAGCGTGTGTTTTACTCGCAAAAAATTGAGTAGCACCCGATCCCTGCTTCTATGCAAATATTAATCAACTTTCAACCACAGACAAACAGACGTAACTCTTCTTTGTGTATCTTCGTTCACGCATTTAACGGTTGATTTGAATATTATCAGTTTCGCGAACTACTCGCCGCAGCGATGGCATTGGATCACTTTGACGTTTCTTTAGATTCTATAGAACTTTCATGCAATATTGTTTGCGAGTTAGGGAGCAAGCTTGTTTTCCGCGAGAAGCCTGAGAGATGTCGTTACTGAGGTCCTATGTTTTGAGATACTATGTTTTCAAGAAAAACTTTTTCAAAGAGTTACGTCTGTTTGTCTGTGTTTCAACTTTTAACTTCAAAACAAAGCTAATAAAGCGAATATATTACTTACACAACCAACCACTCTTGCTAAATAACATAAACATCAAAAGTGCTTTTTCAACAACTTAACAACCTGTACTCAACTAATAAACTGTGTTTGCGCTACTTTGGAAGCTATTTTACAGTCAACTAGGTTTATTTTTAGACTTGTGTAGTTTTACAGTTTTTACTCTGCTTCTTTACAAAGCTGAAATAACTAGTTGAGAAAAGTGATTCATGTGCACTATTATAAAACCGCTACTCAGCGATCTTGTTGTAGAAGGGCATGTACCGTGCCAATTCAAATTTCGGACACTTAAACTCGAATTTCGGACACTTTTAAAAGTTGATTATCTCGGTCGAATATGATCCACATGTCTTGTAAATTTTAAATTTTTTTGACTAGTGCCCTCCACGATCATCTAACATTATTACTTTGTTTCTAACTGGATGTAATATTTAATTAAAAATGAAAGTGTCCGAAATTTGAATCGTCCGAAATTTGAATCGGAACGGTACATTTGTTTACGTCAGTTCAAAGTGTTGGCGTAGCGAGGTTGGTACACGGTAAGAAAAAAGTACCCCACGGCCAGTTCACTTTTACCTACTTTTGACTAGTTTGTCTCATTTTCTCCTTCTAATGTTGTCAAAAAAGACAGGGGTAGTAAAGTGTGGGAACCCAACGTTGAGTATAATCATATTTACCTACTGTTGGGTACAACTAACTTACTTTTGGTTACAAAGCTAGTGGAAAATTCCATACAGACTGCACACAAGTAAATGAAAATTACTTTGACCCACTTTACCTACTTTTGGGTTCCTGCACAATATAGTTCTCTTTCCGAAAATGTATGGAGAAAACAAGAATTTGGAACGGTAATGGTTCTTAACAACCCATTATTTGTAAGGTCCAGTTCCAAAAAACCATAATACATAATGTTGAAACTTTATCATTAAACGTTCATGTAAAGTTCCATAACCATTTCAGTTAAAGTTTAGCAGGGATTATAAACAATTTTTAACCATTTTAGGTAAGGTCAATTTATGGTTCGCGTTTATGCGGGGAGTCGTGGTTTGCCAATGTAGTTGTCTCGAGTTCAAGTTCAGCTTCCGGTGTAGGGTAACAATTTGATAATGTGCTTATAACGAATAATTTGATTCGCAGCTAAATAAAATCTATACATTCCTATATAAAAAAACGTAAACAATATTTAACCCGGATTCAAGATAAAGCTGTGTAGAGATTATTGGATAATCGGGTAAAGATTGAGTAAGCACTTTTCAAGTTCACACACAACTAAACAGCAGGATAACAGCTGTATAGAAGCGTCAGTATATATGCAATAAGAGCTTGTCCCAACAGCCATAAGTGGCTGACTAAGTTCGCCAGATTTGTATGTATAGAGGTTGAGTAAAGGTTTCCTCATATCGTATAACATTTGAATACAGCTTGAGGCTGTATAAATGAAATGACTAAAGCGTTTACATTGTGAAAATTGTTAGTTGGGTCCGCAGCATTTGAATACAACTACAGCGGAGATTTGTTCGTTGGGGTGCTCGCTAGTTGTGCCATGACCCAATTAAAAAGCATCTGGATGTCAAAATCTCATGTCAAAATAGATTTTAAAATCAACCATAAACTCTTCCTAGGGGTAAGCATATGCGTTTTGAACTACGCATTCAATGTAATGTGTGCAAACATATGGTATTCGATCGAAACATTTGAATTTAATTTGAAATTCCAGAAGAAATCTAAAACACATATTAAACACATCAGTATTTTGCTTTTCTCACTCAGTTTCAAGCAATTTGCTTCAATCCGAATTGTTTTTCGTTAAATTTTCTTAACAGCATCAAAGGATATGCATACCCCCAAACAAATTTTAGCCTTCTGTCAGTTGACCCAACTAACGAATCGAATTGGTTAGTTGTGCCGAGGTGGTGGCCCAACCAGAGAATTTCGGCTGTATAATGATACTAAAATTCTTATTTTGGCGCCTTGTTAATCTAGTTGATTAAGTCATCACTATTTTGCTGTGCAGGTACACATAATCACAACATTGATTACTAAACTGTAATAGTTAGATGCCCAATCCTTTACCTGAACAACAACACAATACACACAAAAACACCATTTACCTATGCGTCCTGAACCGCTCCCTGGCGTTAGCCTGTGACCGTTGAAGATGCCCATCCGCACCGCCAAGAGATGAATCCTTGGGCGATCCATTTTCTCCACCACCCAGTGCCAACTCCGATTCACCAAACAACTCATCGTACACACTTCTCATCACCTTTTCCACTCGAGCGGCATTACCGCTGCTACTCCTGTTGGCTCTTCGACTCCTGGCGACACTCATGATTGCGTGGTTGTGTCTGTCACCTTGCCAGAAAATACATCCTTCCCGTTGTAAACCGCGATCGTCACTAACGGGTCACACTTATGCGGTTCTGGACGCAGGCGGTTCCTTCACTCAAGTTCTTGCAATGGAACACACTTGTTAAATGAATTAAGTCGTTAATGGGCGATGAGTGAGAAAAGATGCCGCCCGCCGATGATGAGCCAGAGGAAGTTCAAGTCTACGTACAGTGGCTGAGCTATACTCTGTGGAGGCGTTTGTTTGTTTTCTTTTCTTCCTCGCCTGCTTCGATCCCGTTCGAAAAGCCGATGATCAGCTCAGCACTGATTCCCAGCAAGTGATACCACTTTTGCCAGCCATTCTCCTCCTCTTTTCCACTGCTGCCTACTGATCGTTGTCTATTTCTGGAGAAAATTTATGACCTCCTTACCGTTTAAGGAGCGTCACGTGTTTACACTTCGATGCGGTACTAATTTGCGGGTTCGTTATCCTATGTAAACACCCAAGAACGGATGTGTCCCAATCCAATAGGTTACGGTACTGATTTATCGTGGTTTATGTAGTGTAAAATATTTAATTTTACAGATAGGAAGAAAAAACTAACAACCCATTGAAATACCCCAGACAGAGAGCCAATCACGGAAGCAAACGTGAAAATTGCTCCTGCCAAAAATATTCGAATAGTCACGTCCCTTCCGATGTTTGTCCAGCTCAGGCAGTGCATATGCACCTGAATGTAGGCAATCCATGTTTGCATGGCAGGATTTGATTGGACATTTACAACTTCCTGCCGGCCGATCCGTCGGCGGCGTGCTTCGTTGAGATTGTGTTTGTGTGCGGTGTGCTAAAATTGCTAAAATTGCCGGCTATAGCTTTGCATGCTAATGTCGGCGCCTCGCTCTCTGTCTCTCCATCGTCATCATTTATATCGGCTTAGATGCCAATAAACGGGACGTAATCATTTTATCGCCATTGCCATTTTTATTTTCGTTCCTCATTCTTACATGCTAGAGAGCGCTTATCTCGTTATCATCAAAGTGGCTGCTCTTGCCGCCGCTCTTCCCCGGGCCAGTGGTGCGATACCATTCCAAGCAGGATAAGCAGGATAATCCTTTCTAAGTGATTGTTTTGCTCCTTATCGCGTTGGGTCGTCCGCCCGTTTGTTCCTGCTATATAGCCGGTTGCTACTGTTTCACATAAGGTAACTTTTTCGTTTCTTGATGTTCAGAAAGGTATCGATATCGATTGAATGGAAAATACGGTTGAAGAACATCCAATCAAGCAATGATTCTTGTGGTCTGTCATTTATTGGTGTTTCCTGAGCAGCCTAAATGGTGCATGGAGCCAATGTGACAGAATTACTTGCTTCCCTTTTTCTTTTCATTAAGAAGTATTTTAGCCACGGGCTAGTTCATCTCCGATTACTTACTTGCTTCCGTCTTGAAGTGGTTCCAGGTATTTTATTTTGACGTAGGACTACGTCTGTGATTTCTATATGGAGGTACACTTTGTGCAAACCAAAAATGGAATATGTAACGAAATTGTGAAAGATTTTGAACGTTAATAACTCAGCTGCCCTTGGACCAATTTCAATAATTGGTTTCAATCAATCGATCAGAAATATTTCTACGCATCGATTGTTGTTTTTTTTAACAAGAAACTATTGAAAAAAATGGTAAATGTCAAGCATTGTCCAAAAGCGTTGAAATAATTAACAAATCCATCAATAAGGTTAGGTACATGCATATGCTGCTTCACCAACACAGTCATCAGAGAATCGTTTCTAGTTGATCGATTTCGATGTAGCATTGCTGCTTCCCCAGCACTGTCATCAAAGAGTCGTTAGTAGACGAATCAAGTCGTCTCAGATCTTTGGGCGTGTGCGAATAGAGAGGATGCAATTGCGTAACATTTTGCACACTCATCGCCATATTCAGAACCACACAAAATGCTCTCCAGAGTTGTAATCTTGTAATCAAACTTGGAAGCAGGGCTGCAAGTGCATCGATTTTCTGTTTCGTTAATAACTCGACGGCAAACATATTCATTAATACGTTTGTTGTTCTTGGGTTACACTTGCTGGTTGCAATTCTGCTATTCGATATTTTCGAAGGACCACCAAAACACATGAAATTACACTATTTTCTAGGAATGCCTAAAAGGCCAATTATTCGATTAACGATCGAGGTCTACCCCGGAGTCGACGACCTCTACCAGGTTCTCTGCTGAATATAATCTTTGCTTGTCGTTTTTCCGGCAGTAGTCTGCCGTGTTTTATAAGCTTCACTATATCCGTTCCGCTATACACTTGGTACAACCATAGAGGTAACTCTAAGACTAGAAGGTCCCGAAATAACGTGCTCAACTTTTTGGCTCAGCTCTGGTACTCTCTTCGGTCCCAAGCTAATCGATTCACCCCTTGAAACATAGAAAAAACCAATAACCCCTCATTTTATCTGTCAAACTTTCATAGCGAATCAAAACAAACAGTGTGTAGTACTAGAATTTCGACTAGAATGGGGTACGTTAATCGTTTGCTTGGGACCAATAGGCTAGTCAAGTAGTGAGCCAATTTAAAATCGTTAGTTTCGTATTGATTGTTGGTACAACCGCCAGATGCCATTTTCTTGTTTACCGCCGACATCGAAGACATCAAATGCTCTCCGGTCAGCCTCATGTACCTTCCACGATTCATGCAAATTTCGTTTTCGTTTGCAGGCTACGGGACTTCAGCTGGTTACCTAATCCGTAAAAGGCCCTGTTTTCAGCTGCAATACGTCCCTTTACCTCGCGGGTAACATCATTATCGCATGTCACTAGTGTTCCAAGATACAAAAATTCTTCCACTACCTCAAATTGTTCACCATCTAACACAACTTCACTACCAAAACCTCTATTGCTGCCACGCCATCTACCGGCAACCATGTACTTCGTTTTGGTAGAACTTATCGTGAGCCCAATTCTCGCCGTTTCCCTCTTAAAAGGTACAAAAGCCTCTTCCACTGCTCTACGGTCAACGATGATATCGATGTCGTTCACAAAGGCTCTATCAAGAGCAATGTTGAATAGTAAGTTTGAAAGTGGATCACCCTGCTTCAATCCATCACGAACGAGGTCGAAATCTCATCTACAACCCGCACACTTGATTTCGATCCATCCAGCGTTGCGCGAATCAGTCTAATCAGTTTCGCCGGAAAGCCATGTTCCAGCATAATCTGCCAAAGCTCATTTCTCTTCACTGAATCGTACGCTGCTTTGAAATCAATAAACAGATGGTGAGTCTGCACTCACGGAATTTGTCAAGGATTTGACACAGGGTAAACATTTGATTCGCCGTTGAAAACCAGCCTAGTATTCGTCGACGAAGGACTCCTCAAGCGGTCTCAATATGTTAAACAGAACGCGTGACAGTATTTTGTACGCCGAATTCAGAAGAGTTATTCTTTGATAATTGGCGCATTCTAGGCTGTGCCCTTTTTTGAATAATGGGTTCTTCGTCCTCCCATATGTTCATTATAATACGGTGGATTGGTGGTTTTTCAGCTCACGCCTTTTTAACCTCGTCTAGTTTGATCGTAGTATGCGATTTGTTTTATCTGTCAGCAAATTCCCTTCAAGCTCATTGCACATGGCGGGAGATGACGCTGTTTTACTCCGCACACCATTGACAGTCGCGTAGAACCTTCGCATATCGTTCTGCTCCATACTTTTTTGCGCCTGGGTAATCACGCGTTCTTCGTATTGCCTTTCCGTTCTGTGCTGGGTTCGTTTCTCAGCTGTCCTTGCTCGGCTTCTGGCAACGTTCTTTTCATCCGTCAACCTCTGGCACCCCTCATTAAACCATCCATTACGTAGCTGTACCTATCACTTCTTGTGCTGTTGTGTTCACCACTCCGTAGATTGTGTTTCACACATTGTTGAGGTCCTCGTTCACGTTGATTTCGCTATTCCGCTCATCAAGCTTCTGGAGATACTCTGCAGCAACACCTTCTGCTAACAAGCGATGGATTTTTAAACGCATCGATCTCCGGTTCGTAGGATTTGTAACGGACGACAGACGCGCACGAATTTTCCAGACAACAAGATAATGATCTGGGTCAATGTTAGGCCCCCTGAAAGTCCTTACATCGATAACATCTGAGAAGTGGTGACGACCATCCACCAACATGTGGTTGATCTGAGTGCAAATTTCGCCATTTGGATGTCTCCAGGTGTGCTTTCGGATATTCTTGCGTGCAAAGTAGGCGCTACAGATGGTCATACCTCTAGCAGCAGCGAAGTTTATTAGTTTCAGGTCGTTATCATTAGTTACTGTATGTAGGCTCTCTGTACCAATGATTGGACGAAAGAAATCTTCCCTTCCGACCTGTGGATTTGCTTCTCTGATTACACGTTACCGACATCCCTTCTTATTTCTTCTCGTTTGATTTAGAACAGTAGATAAAATAAATAATAGTACTAATAAGTGTTAAGCGGCTTTCTGTCAAAGGCTAAGATTTACCAACTTGTTGAGAGAAGGAGTTTAATAAGAAAAACTAAAAAGGGGAGGAGCTTTAGCTGGGTGTACACTGATATTCTGCGGATATCAAGATTTTCCAAAAGAGTTAAATTTCTGAACATGTCCCAACTAAAATTCATATCAAAAGGTTCTTTTCAGGGCAATCATAGTCATACTAAAGAGTATTATCAGAGAGAACCTCGCTCAAATTCCTATTCCTACACTAAACACAAGCTCCTGCTGCAGTTAACAAATACCATTTATTATATTAGACCACGTAGTCCTACGTTACCATTGCGTACAACCCCTTAGGGCTGTCCCTTGTAGTTTCCTTATTAAGGCTCAGGCAGAGTTGCTTCGACTCATTTCGCTTTATAGAATGTTTTTCGGGGTTACGAAATCAATCAATGCAATAATGATATATTTCCAGTGTTCACTCGGCTGTCGACAAAAGCAGGCCACTCTCGATGTGTGCTACGCGATTGTCTGTTTTCTCGGTAGCAACCATTGTGTGGTCCTCCTCTTTGTTCTTCATCAGCAGTTCTTTAAGGCGATGCGTCGTCGACTTTGGAAATCAACCGTTTCGTGATGAGTGTGTGAGTGCTGACCACGTTTTGCGTCCATTGCTGCAAGGGACGTGCTCTGACCCTCGTTGGCGTACAACAATTTGCCATACAATGAAACTACTAGAAGCGGCTCCAGTTCTGAT